ATGCATCCACTGCCATTCCTCAAAGGCAGGAGGAGGCAGGGAGGACTTGCTAGAAATGGGTTAACACCCACGTGATGAGGTCATCAAGGTTTGTGCCATGTTCCATGGAGGCCAGCGAGCCTGGAAACACCACTAGACCTGACCTTGAGCAAACAGATCTGACCCTGAACTTGCCCAGCCTCAGCTTCCAGCTACAGAATGAGAATAACTGGACCCTGAGATGCCGAGGACAGAACGTTTCAAACTGACTGTGGCAAAGGACCCGGTCTCTCTCCCAGTCTTGGACCAATACTTTGATCCAATAAACTAGTTGTTGTCTAGACAACTTGAACTCATAGTGACCCCACACGTGAGGGTAGAACTGAGTACCACGGCGTTTCCGGGGGCTGATTCTTCACAAGTCCGTCACCAGGCCGGACTCCCAAGGACCTCAGGTGGACTGGAACCTGCAATCTTTCAGTCGGCCCGTGAGCACTTAACTGTTGGCACCACTCAGGGATCAAACACTTCTAGAAGTTCCTAAAAGCTTACTCCCAACTCCTGTAATGAATTCATCACAGGCCAGCACCAGTCAGTGGATCCTCCAAGCAGCACACGGTAGGCCTACCATAAAGGTCAGCGGGAGGGAGGAAGGTGCATCTGTGACTGGGTGAGGAGGGAAAGATGGGGAGTCCTCCAAGAGGGGGTGGCGTGTGGGGCAAGTCCAGACAGGAACTGAAGCAGATGAAAGCAGGGGGAGAGAGCAGGCATCCTGAGCCACAGCGAAGCCTGGAGCGCGTTCATAAAACGAGCCGTAAATCAGTTCACATCCTCCCCGGAGACACAGAGGAGAAGGCCCAGCGGGATTAACAGTGGAGCCTGTTTACAGGACAAACGTCAGCCCTGGTTTCAGCCAGCAGGAAGCCACAATGTGGCCACGGTGCCCCTTATGGCTGGGTGGCTGTAAGTCAGCCCATGGGATCCCTGGAGCCCTGAACTGAAAAAAAGACCACTGCAGGGAAAGGATCATGTCAGAAGGTCCTGGGTGGAGTGGGAGAGAAATGTGCAACAAAGCTCCAAACCAGAAAGAAGAGCAGGCTTCCTGGTCTGACAGAGACGGGGGACCCCTGAGGCTGCAGCCCTCAGTCACCATTCAAGCCTGGAACTGAACCATCCCTGAGGATCCACCTTCAGCCAAGCAACAGACAGGCCGCTAAGGTGAACAGTCGCACCAGGGAGGTGTGCCACCAGCCATGGGCGATGAGAACA